ACCAGCGGATTGTACAGGTGTGCACAGCCTCACCCAACCCGAGACACCTCTCTTCGAGACTCACGACTATGACTCAAACTCACACTCAAGACCTAACTGTGACTATACATATGTAGCTTAACATCCAACCTCTTGGATCATGAATCTTGAATACAAGTCACCAATCTGAATGTGAAAAACAGGAAAGCCGCATTTGTCACTCGTTCTCATCTCATCTCATCTCACGCAAGCAGGCAGGCACATCCCGAAGAATTGCAGTCAAGCGGAAATCGAAGCCCCTCCTTTTTTTTGTTTACTCTTGCTTTGGTGCACCTCGTACCGCCGCGCAGATGATCCTTCAGGTGATCCAGTACAGTCAAGGTGCTCCCTAGCAACGCGGCCTGCTCCGACTCTTCACCCGCGAGCATGAGTCTTGATTTCGATGCTGATCATTGTGACTTGCCGGCTTTGACTTAGCTAGACTAGCTCATTCGTGCGGCGTGCCTGCCTGCCTGCCTGCAACGGCGGCGGCGAACACAAGCGTGTGTATACGAGCATGCAGGATCATCGAGTCCACATTCAAATCACGAATTCACAATCAAGAATCTTCAATTGCGATGGATCGATGGTCGACATCTCAAATGATTATGCGCTACCATGCCCCCGGGCTGTCCCCTAGCGTGGTTGAATGCTCGCATGGAGCGGTGCGACAGCTCTGTCGCTCAAGTTCAAATCGCACCCACGTTCAGCCAATCTCACACTCGTCAGACTGCGACGCAGGGCAGAAAACGCCGCCTCTTGTGTTCTGAGCGTTGATCGTGCTGTACGATGGCTGCGGCCTGTTTGCCGTGCGAAGAGCCACGATGTCAGGTGGCCAAGCCGTCCAACACCCCGTTAATCATACTCGGAACCGACGATCTGCCATGCAAGGTTTCCACATTCGTGGATCGCTGCACACTCATCCAGATTGCTTCTTTCAGACGTGACGTTCATGGCCGACCGGACAGTCCCACCATATGCAAGTTTGCTTGCGCAAGGCCGCGCAACGTCAGCCAGCATCTGCCAGATTGATCGGAACACCGATCACCCGTGACGTTCACGCCCTTTTTTCGTCGCTGCCGCGCTGGGCGCCAAGAGGTCACACCCGAGTGATGGGCACGCGAGGACGATAAGCACATGCGACACTCTGATGAAGCGCTGTCATTGCGTGGGGCTTGTAGCGTGAAGA